GGCTCAGGAAAAATGAGATTTTTTTCTAGTAGGGAGTGAATGTTCGAGAAGAAGAAGATATACATAGAGAATGTTTGTGTGGGAAGAAGAAGGAGACGTTGTATGTGGTGTGTGCTCTGCTTCTAGACCTCAAATGGAGATGGATAGGAGAGAAGAAGACGTGCGGAGGAGGTTTGCTTAAAAAACTAGAAAGGCAAGACGCAGAGAAAGTGAGAGAGAGTGAAGAGGAGAAGCTAGCGGCAGTAATTAGACAAATCAATTTTGAGGGCTTTGAAAAATAGTGGAGAAATCTTTGGGGAGTAGAAATCTATATTTTTTGTTTGAGTCTAATATCACTGGTATTACGAAATTTCGTTTTGAAAAAAACTTTGGGCAGAATTGTGAAATTTGGGTGATCCGAGAGTTCCAGTTCTAGGTTTTCAATTTTAAGCCCTTTGATTAAATTTACAGTTCAGTAGAAATAACTTTTTAAAAATAAGTCTAAATTTGGTGGTGACACCGGAAATGACCACAGATTATGGGGTAGTAAACAAAAATGGTTTCTGGTGGTCTCTGGAAATATTGGAGAAGAGAAAAAAGAGTGTGGGAGAATAGACGTGGTGTATTCAGAAGAAGAGAGGCTCGCTTCTGAAGACTGAGTCAGTTTGAGGCTATTTTTAAAATGGGTAGGATGACGATATTGTCTAGAAGAGAGGATACAATTAGGATTATTAAAACGATGATGAATAGGATATAGTGATGACGTCTGGAATTCTAGTTGGGATGCACAAAGTGACTAAAAAGTACAATTTCTTTAACTACCACTCAGAGCTTTTTCTAGATTTATACCTAACGAAGAATCGATTTTTTGTCAGATGAATGTTGATAAATCACTCCTAATAACACTAAAAATATTACGAAACACATAAAAAACACTATCTAGATTATTGTTGTGTATGTTTGTTAGTGTTCTCTATATTGGAGAAATGGAAAAAGAGAGAAAGAGAAAAGTCATTCTTGTCACAAGAGAGAAAAATAGTGAAAACAAGCTTAATTAAAGTGAAAATATATAGAGCTTTTTGTGAGAGAAACGCATCGGAAAATAAGCTTAAAATTATGTATATAGCCTCTTTCTATATCGAGATCTAGGCTTCATCTATGTAGATTTTTACGATAGACAATTTTGAGAAAATTTTGGAAAGAAGGGGGAATTTATTGAACAACACTATGGAATTCGAAGAGAGAGGAGAGATACACAATGCGACGTGGAGGGAGAAAAGAAGAAAGGGAAAGCATAGGAGACACTGAACATGTGGAAGGAATTGGATGGAAGAAAAATTGAAAAAGTTCGGCCGGCTATGGAGAAATTAGGCTGTTTTTGGAAATGTCGGGATTTTTGAATTTTGGAGCTATTATTTTAGATTTTGTTCAAAGGTTTTCTGCTAATAAATTCTATTATTTGGTTTTTCAAATACTTCTTGTCATTTCGAAAACAATGATTTTCTTTGAGCAATCCTACTTATTTATGTCTATTTTTATGAAGCATATTTTTTAAGCTGAAAATATTTGAAATTTCAAGATTTCAGTTTTTTTAATTTTAAAGTTTTGCTATTTAGTCCTGCCGATTTTCAGGAACTTTCTCTATTAGTATCTGAATTCTACAGCGATTACATTTTTTCGCCCGTATTTTTTTATTTTCCATGATGTCATATTTTCTATCGGTTGGAGGCTGATAAACAACTCCTTTCTTTGAAATTTAGAACAGCTAAATATCGAATAAAAGTTTAAAATCCTAGATGCTTTGTTTTCAGACAAGAAAATCTTATGGGG